GTTCTCCCTCCTCTTGGGTAGGGGAAGTATATTGACAAAGTAAAATGAAAATCAGTTGTTCAACAATACTCGTCATTAATCCATCGTCATCAATATTACCTTTTCAATAATATTGTCAGGGACTCGAAAGTGTCCCCGATACTCGAACAACGCACATAACTCGATCCATCGTCGCCTTGACCAATCGCGTCAGTTTATCGGGAAATCCGTGCTCGTGCATAATCGGCCATAGCTGATCTCGATCGATTGTGTCGTATGCGGATTTGAAATCGATGAACAAACGTTGTATTCGTGGCATTTCTGTAGAACCAGCTGAATCGCGAAAATTTGGTCCGTGGTAGCGCGGGCACCCATGAATCCCGCCTGGTATTGCCCTAATAACATAAACAATACTTATTATTTGAAATATACCTTATAACAATTTATAACGGAGGTGGTCACTACCCGAGTCTTGTCACTATTAACAAGTCATAAAAAGTAACAAGGACTAAAATGTGTTTCTTTAATTACTCAAAAATCCTGGTCCCCTAGTTTGAAGTTGTCAGGACTAGGATTCGATGGCAGAGTTTATACTACTAACACACCACGAAAAGGTAAACTACAAGCGTTACTGGCTTGACAAGTTATAACAGGAGAAAAAGGAACGAAATCATCAAGTTTAGCTAATTGAACCTAAATACAGCTTCACATGTATTGAAGTAGAAGTCGAAATTGTAGACCGTTCGTTTGACGAAGACCTCTGTGAGCTAGTCTGGTTTGTGGTAGAGCTTGCACGGAATGTCTTCCCTCGATTTGAGATTGTATGATGATGATGATGGTCCCACCTCTTACCCCTACAAAGGTTTGAGCTGGACGATTTATCTTTAAGATAATTAAATATGACATTTTAACCAGGTTGGCAAACAAAATCGAACTGGTTTCAGTTACAGATATAAATTCCCTCTAGAGTTTACAGTTGCTTCACAGCGATATAAATGTTGAAAAGCTCAGGCGTCCACCTCTTAGTTCGCCTTTTTGTCCACCTAAAATATTCATAAGTATTACAAGCAATCAAGAGTTAATGAACAATCAACAAAGCATCCTATTACACTAGTAACCCCGCAATCTGATGCTATCATAATTTTCAGCAATGTCAGGAATGCTCACGAACCCCCAACATTTGCCAGAAAACTTACTACTAACTCAAGGTATCTTCCAAATAAGCTTCAAAATTGCATTTTTTTTTATCAAATGTTAAATTCAGTCCTCTCTATCCGTAATACGCGCGCGAGGCTCAAACCTTTGTAGACTACTATTTTTTTTTTACTACTACTATTAAATCATATATCAAAAATCCATCATCACCATCGTGGCGAACAAAATAGTTTTTGCAGTGCTACAATAATTATTAAAAAGTCGTTATAACAGCTATCCATACAAAGTAATCCGTTAAAAATAACTTCGTCAAGATACATAATTTGTCAATTCATAAAAAAAAAATCACTGGATAACCGTTCAAAAGACAGTTTTAACGTGTGAAATGCAATGTCTCTTAAATTCTGCTAATGTTGTTGAACGTTTAATGTGTCTAGGCATCGAATTGAAAACATTTATTCCTTTAAAAAATAATGAAATCAGTGAAGCACAAGTCAAGAAATGTGGTGCTCTCATTTCATCCGCGTTTCTAGTATTATATCTATGATAGTCACTTCCTCTTTCAATTCGATCACACAAATATCGAGGCAGCAAACCATTAACTAATTTAAAAATGAACACCATAGTCAAATATACAATTCTTTGCTTCACCGACAACCATTGTTAGGCGTCTAGCATCAAAGTTGAGGAAGTGAATCTATTACATCTCAAAATCAAACGCATTATTTTATTCTACAAGCGCTGTAATCTCGATTTTTGTGTTGCATTGGACAGAAATAAAATGGATGGGCAAAAGTCTAGATGAGGAGAGATGATTGATTTGTATAGCTGTATTTTACTGGCAATAGTTAAATCGTTTTTCAATCGACATAGAATTCCATACTTCTTGGCAATTTTCTTGATGACATTGTCAATGTGAGAGTTGAACTTAAGTTTTTCATCAATAATCACGCCAAGATATTTAATCTCCTGAACGCGATCAATAGTCTCATCATCAATTACAACAGAGACGTTCTCATTTAATCGATTCCGCGAAATTACCATAAATTTAGTTTTACTTGTATTCAATTTTAACTGCTTACACTTCAACCATCTACTTAGATACTGCAAATCTTCATTCAAGTGTGAGACGGCAACTTCTAAATCCTTAGCTGCAATGAATAACACAGTATCATCTGCAAAAAGGTTAATGTCGCAAAACCGTAAAACACGTCGCAAGTCATTAATATACATAATAAATAAAAGGGGCCCTAATACACTTCCCTGGGGCACTCCAAGGTTATTCCCCACGGGACTGGAAACAGAATCATTAAAAACAGTCCGTTGAGTTCTGTCAGACAAATAGCTTTCAAACCATTTATATGCAGTACTCGTAATTCCAAAGCGCTTGATTGTACTTAACAGTAAGGGCCTAGAAATTGTTTCAAAAGCGCGTTTCAGATCCAAAAAAACAGCAACAATCGTATCTTTACGCTCCAAGTTGTCTTTCCACTTTGCTAACACCAAATTCAATGCAGTTTCACAAGAATGACCTTCCCGATATCCCGATTGTTCTGGTATCAACAAAGAGTTGCTATTCAAATACTCCAACAGCTGGCCTTTAACAACAAGTTCTAAGATTTTCTCTAATGTGTGCAACATGTTGATGGGACGAAACTCTTCGGCTTTAATCGTTCCAGCAACTTTTTGAATAGGAATCACTAAGGATTCCTTCCAAATTTGTGGCACATGTCCATTCTGCAATGATTCATTTATAAGGTCCAGAAAAATGTGGCCAATGACATGAAAGCAATCTTGAATAACTCTAGCATTAACATTATCTACTCCAGCCGATTTTCCTAATGAAAAACAAATAACTCTAAGTTCATCTAATGTAATTGGGTGAAAAACTTCAAATCTGCAATTACTATTAACTGGCTGTTTTATTTCGTCAGGTTCATCGACCAATTCAATATATTGATTAATCAATGAAACACTGTCTACGAAATAATCATTAAACTTAGATGCAATTACTTGTTCTGACTGTTCTAATGTGCCATTAAAAGTTATGGACCGCGGTTTGCAATTGCTAGGTTTTAATAAAGATTTCAAAATTTTCCATAACTCTTTGCTGTTGTTTTGATGCTGATCAATCTTCCTTTGAACATATTCACAACGAGTTTTCTTTATCGATTGTGAATACTTATTACGCGCGATTGTGTACCTAGTCCAATGATTGTCATTATTAGATCTACAGAACTTTTTGTGCAATTTGTCCCTTTTCCGTTTAAGACGCAAAAGATCCAAATTGTACCAGCTGTTCGAGTTTTTCAAAGAAACAAACTTTTGCTCAACTAGTTGATTGGTACACGTTTTCAAAGCGTTATTAAGAACAGCTGTAGATTCATCTAAGTTACCGGCCGCGAATTAAAGAAGTTCGGATGTAGTCGATTCTTGATGTGCACTGGCAAACCTTTTCGTGGTCAACAGTTAGGATCAGCTGTGCGACTCAACGATGAGTTGAATGATGGGACAACGAGGGCCCATGGAGGTTCGAAAAGCTTGTCAGCGGCATATAACAGGGACGTATAACTAGCTAAAATGTGATGCAGTTGCATGCAGTGTCTTTCTTGTGGTGAACTCGCTGAATAACTATAACTCGTATCCTGGGCCTGGTTTTGATCAGATCAGCAACCCATTATGAACAAAAAAAACTTCACGGACAAAAACAGATGTCACGTTCGATCACACGCACAGCCTACTCATCCGTTTGGGTGGAAATGCTCTAAAACTTTGAATTTCAAAAGCACAAAATAGCAACCAGAGCTCGCCGTCATGCTCAATGTTTATTTTGTCTTGTTGTTTATTTTGACGTTTGTCATGTTATTAAGCGAAATGTGTTTCACATTAATATTAGTAATTTCAATTTAATTTAATTGTTTTAATAAAGGGTGGTCGTCTTCCCCCGTCCTTCCCTAAAAATATTTTTTTTAGATAAATGTCTTGATTCGGAATACTTAAATAATCCTAAAATCACGATCCAGAGTTTGAACCCATGACCTTCAGCCACTTGTTGAACAAAAAAGACCCGTCCATCTAAAATGTTCACCTAATTTCAATTCAATCAAATTACCAAATTCGTCTGTGCTATCTTTTCCCAATTTTTTTTTTTTCAAAATGAATCTTACTTCTCATAACATTTGTTTAAAATTTCAAAACGATAATTCCCATAATTCCCGACAATTAACCTTTTTCCACTGACAAACAGACATAACACATTGAATATTTCTCACTGTAAAATATTACCGCCATCTGTTGAGTTCATTGTGCCAATTACCAACTAAGAAACATTTGAATTAACAGTTTAATGCGTTTCCAATCAACAACTCAGGAGAATTGTGCCTGTTTGTTTGTGGTTTTTCTGCCCAAAAATCCAAGAGTCACCCTAGCCTGAACAACAGATCAGCAATCAGCAAGCACATATTCACAATCAAGCAACAGACGACCGCATCAGCATCGAGCAACAGGAGCACAGTCTGAAAATGCTAAGAAAAAAAAAGTATAAAAAACAACAAACCACATGCGACCCTTCGGTTTCGGGCAGGCATCCTGACACCTACCGCCGCTGCTCAGTTCGGTAACCTTCGGCTGTCTTCGGTTCTTATGCTCACAGCTAGGAGGGCACGACACACTGCACTGTAGTAGGCATGCGGGGTGGCGGCGGTCGTCGAACGAGCATATGATTTTATGCATCTTCCCCCTTCTTTTCGTTGCATCCTCCCTCTTCCGCCTAGCTTCGCGCGCTCGCACTTGGTTGGATTGGAACTGCACCAGCAGCAGCATAAAATCTTACTCTACTTTTTCCGTTTATTCTCGTCTGTGTCGTCTCCCGGTAAGGACGTGCTTTTCGGCGTTTTCTTCTCGTTCCGGTACGTGAGGTCGGTGGTTCGCGTGTTGTGGCAATTTTAATCGGAAAAGTGTGTGGTTTCTCGACATGCGTATGTAGTTAAGCGATTGATGTTTGTTCTTGGATAATCGGAGTGCAATTGCGACAAGTGCTCTTACATTCGCAGTGGGATCAAATTCAAGCATGTGGAGGGCTGCAGTGTTTGGAAAGCTGAGATATATGAATTGTGCTACAGTTGTACAATTGAATTGCTGACCGTTTGGACCGATCGCCGTGACCTTTGCGCTAATTGAGATCGAAGCATTAAATTGAACTTAATTGACCCAATCGAGCTGTGGTGAATTTGTGTTATAGTGTCTTAGTCAGGCTGGATAAAAGTGATAAGAGCAGAATGGCCGAGGAAAGCCTTCGCGTTCCGGATTTGAACATCGACTTCCACATCGTGCAGCTGTTCGAACGGTTGGAGAACCTTCGTCGGGAGCCAGGGGGTGCCAAGCTCTCCAGCTCCCTGCAGGGTCGTTCCACCAATATGCACAACGAGCTGCGTAGTCTGGAGTTTTGGAGGTGAGATGGAATTGCATGATAAATTATTAAAATTCAATCCTGGCCTCGGCGAGGCAGATGCGAGTAGGCGGAAATCGATTCCAAACATTCGTCGCCAGGAATGCAATGGAAGCAATAACTGTTTGTTCTAGATTAGATGCGAAGGTTTTAATATTTACCCAAGAGTCAGCGCAAATTTCTTCTTAATCTTCGTCGTCGTCGTTCTTGGCATCAGAAACGAGTTGAGCTGTGCTCACCGGCGTTGTTTAGTGGAACAAATTGAAATATATTACTTGGAAATCAAAATGTCAACATAGTGTAGAGCGCAAATAAACGGGGCGCGACAGCCGGAATGCGTGGTATTTTTGAATAGGACTGTTTCGCCGCATTGGATGGCAGGGTGAAAGACGAGCGCGATTCTTTCGAATCAAGCAATCAAGACGATAGTGTGTAATCCGACCTGACTCATGCCGGTCACCACGGGCCTGGGATCAAAGTGTATTGTACATACACACATGCGTCCCCGGTCAGATACGTTCGTAGATAGTGTCGTCAACATGTTATGAATTATGATTGGATTGTTACGCGAACAAGTCTTGAATGATCAGAAGATCGCTGTTGGGGATTCCAGCACCTCCCGTTTGCGAATTTCAAGACTTACCAAATAAAAACCTAGGAGTCCTAAATGAAAAAGTGTAGACTTTCCAATTATGGTTGAGAGTTCCAAGACCGATAATTAAGGAACGTAAATTGGGAATTAGATATAAGCTGGATTAGGGACTCCCGATTGAGGATTATAAAGTATCCCCAATTGTCATTGCCAAGATATCTCGATTGAAGATTTCAAAGTTTATATTAAATGCATGGCATTTCTAATGGAAAATCTGTCAATGTGGCGTTCAGACTATAGCCCATAATATTTAACCTTTTGTCTGTACCTCAATAATATAGCTAAGTTCATTGCAGAAATCGTTCAAATCATGTATTGAATCAAATTCGAAATATGTCTCAACTCAAATACAAACCAGTTATCCAATAATACTACAACTACAACTACAATTAATTTATAAATCTTTTTAAGCAGCCTTAACTGTAAGCCTGCAAGCCCTCCGAAGTTAGCTTAACTTAGCTTAGCACATATCAATGGGGTTGGGAGTGACCTTCCATTCTCATTGTACGTGTTTCAGTGACTCCAAATTTTAAACAACAATAACGGCACTGGTCACGTGCTTGCAATCAGCAATATTGAAGTGATCTTAGATGTTTTGGGGGCCGTTTTTAATTCTGTGCTTCATCAAAGGTCACAGGAGGGATAGTTTGTTAGTAGGTTGGGTTCGTTGAATCAGGATTCACCTTAATAAGTGATGCAATCGTAGTTTTGATAAAATGTATTTATTTTCGAAATTGATGCGAATAAGACTTGAGATCTTTGGAATGGCTGGAAGGCAAATGGAACGTCCCTATCAATTCAGTAATGTTATGGGGCCTGAGATAAAACCCACGGTTTTCTGCTCAGTAATCAAAAACGGTTGGACTAGACAACCAAGCTCCTTTGATCCATAAAACGTTCAACAATGAACAAATGAAGCTAACGAAATTAATCCATAGAAAATCAAGCTTGCACACTAACAAATATAGGTATGCACGTATATTAAAAGTTTTTTTTTTCCGTGATAAATAAACATGTATACAAACAAATAAAGTGTATAGAATGCAATTTTTTTTTTATTTTTAGTACTGCACTATGTTTGTTTAGATTCGCTATGAAACTTTGGCAGATAAAATGAGGGGTTCGTGGATTTTCATATGTTTAGAGGGGTGCATCGATTAGCTTGGGACCGAAGAGAGTACCAGAGCTGAGCCAAAAAGTTGAGCACGTTTCTTCAGGACCTTCTGGTCTTAGAGTTACCTCTATGTGGGTACTGCGGACTCACTCAATATGCTTGCTAACTGGGAGCCAATGTGAACTGTCAAACGGGAACCAAACATTCCGAAGCCTTACAAGCAGTTAGTATTCTTAACTATCGTCAAGTATCTACGTTGCATAGACATGAACAGCACATTTTCACAACACATTATTTATTGATTGCAAGCTCAACGGCAGAACTAAAAAGGCGAAATAAGGTTAAATATCAGCACAGATTTGATGACTCAATTAGTTTGAAATTCCAGCAAAACATACTCTGGTGAAAAAATAATGTAAACAAACTTTATGAGAATCATGGGGGCTCGGAAACTCCTGCTTCAGAGTTTTTGGCGGGATTCAACTGAAGAAGAGCCAATCAATTTGGTGCTAGTGAAAATTGTCAAACAGTTAACAATTGGTTTGCAAAATAAAATCGAATAACTTTACAGTACCCAGCTTGGGACCAATAGGCTAGTCAAGTAATGAGCCATTTAAAAATCTTCAGTTTCCACCGGCTGTTTACTCTACACTCAAAAAATTCCACACGTCATCATCATGTGTCTCACTCTTAATTTTGCACTTATTGTGAAACACATCCATTTCATGTGCGATTCTTATGCTTTGAACCATGCCTCAACACTATTGGTACGAATTGTGACACACTTGGAGTCTACGTGCCTCACATGGTGATGTTAATAGCTTTGCAAATCATAGTTCAATGTTCAACAATATTCTGCATTATCGAATTCTACATTACCGACTGCAAAATTTAATCGACAAACATATAAACAAAGGTGCCTTTTTTAATGGATCTGATTTGGGAATTGATCCTGGACTGTTGGGGTGTACTGCTGCCGTTGTTTTTGTTTGAACTCACTAGGCCACGGTTGTTCTCATATACTTATAAGGCTGATTGATAAGAATGAAGTCACAACCAGTGCTGCAAATTTTCATATCATTCGATTGAAGATGAACCACTACAACCATTCAATCAATTCTGTGTAAACGAATTCTCACATGACCATAATTTGAAGAGCCCCTTTCTCATTCGAAGCTCATTGTCACTGTCAATTGAGTCACTCAGTATCATTTGATATACGACAGTGGAGTATGGAAGAAATCCAGCAAAATGGTCCCGAACAGACAAGTCGACCCGATGTCGGATCAATGTAAGGCTAATTTAAGGTCGATGTCGACCCAATGTCGTGTTAATGTCGGGTCAATTTTGGGTTTATGTCGGGTCAATGTCGGGTCAACATCGGGTTGGGGTTTGATAGAAGTCAGCTTGGTGTCGGGTTGGCTTAGCTTTTTCGCCGGAATGTCGACCAGAGCTCCGTTTGTGTGTAGGTTACACTCAATCGAATGATATATAGCGTTTCTCAAATGAGAATGATCCATGCCTTCGTCAAATGACTAAGCAACTGATATCACCCATTTGGAGGAGGTCCTCTTTGATAGCGAATAGCTACTTTTCTCATTTTCATCAAAAATGTTCAAATGATTTTGAGAATTTACAGCACTGGTCACAACTCTTGTTTTCGATGTATACCTTTCTGAGCATGCAATTCACATCACATTGAAAGGCAAAACACTTTAAATCCATCTGTTTTGAACAGTAGTGTGATTCAATGTGCAATAAACTTGAATAGATAGTGAAAGTTTTCAATATTTCAAAGATTGAAACATTATAAACCAAGGTGAAATACACTTAAGATAAATGTGATTGACTTGAATCCCTTTCTACAGCGATCTGAGCGGTGGATTTGCAATATTGATGGAAACAATTAATAGTTCGAATATTCAATTGAAGAGTGTACTATCATTAAACTACGAAAATACGGCTGGTGCTGATCGCGGGAGAAAGCGAATCAAGTTAATCGATTTATTTGTATCTACAAATGGACATAGGACTTATCTAAAACTAATCGAATCTTCACACTTTATATGTCTGATCTGGACAATAAGGCTGCCCACGAGACAGTTCAAGAGCCACATCAAGACCAACAATTGAAATGGCCTTAACTCCATTTTGTAAACAAATCTTGTAAGGCCATTTTCTCGCGAACCGAAGTTCGCAAAGGCAAACCAACATAATGATCAGGTAGGGAAAATTCTCCTCTACCCGATTGTGGTTTAGATTTGCGAATGAAGGTTTCGGTTCGCGAGAAAATGGCCGTACAAAGTTTGTTTACAAAATGGAGTTAAGGCCATTTCAATTGTTGGTCTTGACATGTGAAAAGGGCATACAAGCTTTTTGCAAACAAACCTTTGTATGTTCTTTTCTTGCCAATCAAGGCTCGCCTACGCAAACCAACCTCATCATCGGGAAGGGGAAAGTTTCTTCTACCCGGTGATGTTGATGGTTTACGTTGATGTCATATATATACATGTTGTTCTTGAGTTGCGATCAGCTGACTTTTTTATTTACCATGAATTTTTGACAGATCACAGTAGAACTGGCAGTATATTCTCATATGAATTTCTGCTTTGTTTATGTTTACATTCAGCACCATTAACACCAGATCACCCACACACTCAAGATTTCCAGCAGTCAGTTCCACTGAAAAACGTCTCTTGGATCACCTTATGTCCCAAGATTTGCACAGCCAACCGGCAAATTTTCCAAAGATCTCAGCAAAAGTGAGGTTTGCCTACCGAGTCTCGGAAAATGTTTCGAAGAATCCTAACAAGCAAATGTTATTTTTGCTAGGACTGCCCAACCTTTCAAAATTTGATTTTTTAAATGGCTGTATCTATTTTCGATGAACATGTTTCAAGCTGCATTTTGTTTCTTTCTCATTCATGCTGGGTTGGAATTAAGAATGATGAATAAAATTGGACTGGAATGATGCCATTGCTGAGATCCAGAGACCACGGGTGGCCCGCGGGCCGCACGTTGGGCAGCGCTATCCTAAACACTCGGCTGTGCAAATCTCGACAAAAAAAAACTGCCGAGATGAGCAAAAAAAAAGGCTAAGTGTGTTCGACATCAACTCCAGCTCACTAGGCAAAAATAGATTTACTTTCGCTCGCCAGATCATAAATTAAATTTTATAAATTCATATTAATTTACTCCCACATCTCGTCCGTCCTTCCTAGACTCATGCTGCCGTTCATCTGTTCTTATTTTCCAGATCGATAACCTCCGAGTGTTTGGCATCCTTCTTCTACGTATTCATCGTGTGCGGAGCCGCGGCCGGTGCCGGCGTCGGAGCCAGCGTATCTTCGGTGCTGCTTGCGACCGCTCTTTCGTCCGGATTTGCCGTGACGGCGCTGACCCAGTGCTTCCTGCACGTTTCAGGTAAGATGCGAATGATGGATAGGGGTTTTGGAAAATCCTTCCAAATGCTCCGCCGCTCTAGGGTTGTATTTGCTTATGGATAATTGGTCTTATGGGGGGGGGGGGGGGGGGTTTTCGGGTGGGGAATTCCGGCGTGTAAGCCTATTAGGTTTTATTGCACTACCTTCGTTCGTTCAGTGCCGGCTCGGAAAATTGGCTTCGTTTTTGCCTTTGCAAGGATTTACCATGGGCAGTAAATATTTGTTTGTGCACGCCGCCGGTTCCAATGATCCGTCCTAAGGGAAGAAAGTTTATGGAATTTACTGAATTATTTATCGCCGGAGGAATGCAATCGCATTCGGAGGCCAATCCGGTGGTGGAGAATAATTAGGCCTTGGCAAATATTAAGCATTTCGGATGGGTTTGGTCTTTTACGACCATCATCGCTCGACGGTGTCTCGTATGCGTGAAAAGTAATGTCTGTTTAATTGCTGGATCCACAGCGACAACGGAAACGACCGGTTATCTTCTGCTGGCGGGGGAAGGGGGGCTCAAAAACGGGTGACCACTGGACAGCTGCAAAATTAATGGATTGCATTAATTTTCGACGTGCCATTTCGATGGGTCATTAAGTTACACAAGAAGGAATAGCTTATGCTACTTTCATCAAAATTGTAGTGAATTTTTGGGCGGCAGTGGATTGCTACTGCATGTTTTTGTTTTGACAGCCAGGGTTGCATTCGGAGGGTGGAGGTTGGTTAAATGGATGGTATAGTAGAATTCAAAATATAGTTAAAAAAGAAACTTTGTTAAGGCAAAGTACAACAATAGAAAATTTGTACTGGAATAAAAAAAAACTAAATGCTTGAGATTTGCACCTTTTGGTGATTTTGCAAGTACATGTACACCCAACCAGGAAATTTAAGATTCATTTACAGATTTGCATGAAAAATATGCAGAATTTGCTATGTTTCATGACATGAACAGATTCTGTAGTGTGATCGCCGGAATATTTTTAAAATAATTTTGTAAATTTTATGATAACTTATTTCTTGAAAAAAACAGTTTAACACTTTATTTGTTTCAAATTATAGATGCTGCAGCTACTACAGTAACTTACCATTTGAATAAAGATTGTTTTCCCACATGCATTGCGTCTGGAAAATCATCTTGTGAAGGTATACACAACAACAAAGATATGTCATTACATTTGTTGTATGATACATATACAGAGGATGTAATAAATCCAACCTTACATTGCACAGTGATGCAGGATGGGAATTTATCAAAACAAAAGTCCTAGTACATTTATCTTAAGTTTTAGAGATGTTATGTGTTCTGCAAATTTCTACCTACATTATGCATTAAGAAAAAGTTGCACGTAGTGCATTAACGGGTCTATTTGACCCAGATTTTACCTTGTTCTCAAACAATTATTTCGAGACCGATTTTTGCAAAATTGGGCTTTTCGAAAGCAACAGGTTTACAGTGTATATGTGGATCATGTATGACCTGTTGTCATGTCAATCATATTTGTTTTGCAAGATCATCCCAGACTCGGACAATGTTTGCTGCATCGAAATATGTCCAAACAGGTTCATATTTAGTGTCTATGTAGATCATGTATGACCTATTGTCATGAACAGTCATCCCAGCCCAAGTAGCAATTAGGGTTCTGCAGACTATGTTTCAGACTTGTAGAATGCTTTAAAACCGTGATAAAACTTGCAATGTTACTTGGGCAGTATTATGGGCCAGCTAGTCACTATTTTGGGTCAGTCGGTTCTGCGTGTTAATCTAATGGAAGTGGCCCATAAATGTGGGTGATCCATAATACTGGAGTAACTGTATATTAGCTGTTCTGGGTTCTCCAAATCGTTCTGGAGTCCGGATAATTTGTTCTACAAGATCAAGTAAGGCTCAGACAATATCTGCTGCATCCAAATATGTCCATAAACATTCATAGTGTCTATGTGGATTCCACTTGACCTACTGTCATGAATATCAGATGTTTTATGTTCTCCAAATCATGGAGTGTACGAATCATTTGTTAAGCAAGATAAATAAATAAATTATATTCATGATATTCAGTGCCTATGTGGACCACGCCTGACTTATTGCCATGTATATGAGATGTTATACAAGGCAAACCAAGGCTCGGACAATGTCTGCTGCACTGAATTATATCAAAATGAATTCAAACTGTCTTTGTGGATCATACATGACCCATTGTCATGTATATATTTCGTTCTATGTCCTTCAAATCTTCCTGGAGTCCTGATAAATTGTTCTGCAAGATCAACCAAGACTCGAACAATATCGGTTGCATCGAAATATATCCAAATATATTCAAAGTGTGTATGCAGATCACGCATGACATATTTGCATGTACATATATGAGATCTTCTAGGTTCTCCAAATCGACTTGGAGTTCAGAGTATTTGCTCTGCTAGATCAACCAAGACTAGTACAATGCCTGATGTATCGAAATATATCCAAACAAAATCATTGTTTGTTTGTGGATCATGCCAGACTTACTGTCATGTATACCTGATGTTCTATGTTCTCCAAATCGTCCTGGAGTCCAAATAATGTGTGTAACAAAACAAATTTAAACTCGGATAATGTCTGCTGCATTGAAATATATCAAATTGGATTCAAAGTGTCTAACTATGTGGATCATGCAATACCTATTTGCCTGTACTTTGGATGTTCTTTGTTATCCAAGTCGTTCTGTAGTCCGAATAATTTGTTATGCAAGATCAACCCAGACTCGGACAATGGCTGCTAAACCGAAATATGTCCAAACAGGTTTATGTGCCTATGTGGATTCTCCAAATCGTCCTGGAGTCCAGATATTTCCGTCGATTATGTTGCTGAGTAACAACGCTACCGATGCGATGCCAGAAAAGCAGCTCACACACCTGGACCCAACCTATCGACCGGGTACCAGAGGTTGCATGCCTCAGAAAATCCCAGCGGTGCCGACTGGGATTGAACCCAGACCTTTGGGGGTGAGAAGGAGTGATTGCTTACAACTACACCACCGGTACCGCTAAGTTTATTCCGGTTGCAAAATGTTTGTTTCAGAAAGTAAGGAAAGACACCAAAATTCTGTAGTTTGTCCCTAACGCAATAGGAAGTACAAAAAGCACCTTTTGGAGCTTTTTAAAATGAGGGTGGTCCTTAAGTTATTGTTATATAAAAACAAACTTGTTTGTATTGAAAAATAAAAACGCATCTTCTTCAGCAAAGCTTTTGTTGAGATGATTTTAAGCTACTTTTCTCAAGAGACATTTCTTCTATCTCTTTCCATTCTCTGACATTTTTTTATATCTACTTCAGTAGGTCTTAAAAAATCCAGTTTTTTGCTCTATCTTTATTATTTTTATTATTTCGTAAAAGTCATCTTGACATGATTTTAAGGGCATGTTGAAGCACACATTTTTGTAGAGAAAAGCAAATTCATATTGCTCATAACTTACGAGATACCACCTGTTAACTGAAGTACAAGAATTAAATTTTCTTTAAATGCATAAGTCCTAGTGATTTTCTCTTAAGTGTGATAGGATTTGTGTCTTTTATAAACTATTTAAACTAAAAAATGTCCATTTTTATGATAACAGATATAAAAATGTGTTATCAGCAAAGTGCATTGAAATTAGACCTGTGCGCCGATCAAATTATTTTCGGCGGCGGCGTGATATGTTATTTTCTGCCGGCGGCGGCGGCGTGGCGGCGTCACGCCGTTTGCTTTCGGCGGCGGCGGCGTGGCGGCGTGGGTCAGCGTGAGATTATTCCAACTGATTTAGAAAAAAAATTGCTTTCCAAACCAATCGCACATGGAATAAAAATGCTACCCATATTTGATTTCAGATTACTGAAAATCACTAAAACGTAGGTCACTCATAGTTTGAGTAAATTTTTCGACACTTTCCTGGGGAAAACTTCTCGGATATGGGAAAAATTAAGAAAATTGTACACAGGTTAGAACTGTACTAGAAGACCGATTAAAACCACAATCAGTTTTCCTCATATGTAGTTTCATATGAAGTTTTCCACGGAAAAGCGTCAGAAAATTTACTCAATCTATGAGTGTCCTACGATTTCGCGAAACGACACGTTCGGATTGGGAAACTGGTGGTCCTAACGTTCGTCAAGGCTCAATCATATTTTTCACAGATGGAATACGAACAGATGCAGGAATCTTTGACCCCGGGACAAATATTTCAGTTGCGATGGGACATTTTCCAAAGGTGTTTCAAGCGAACCATACTGTGGAATATCATACTGTACGGTAAAAATGGAGCTCAAATGCTGGGGAGAGCAAAGGGTGATGGCCAATTGCACATGCACAAACTGCAACCAGTCGAAAAGATTTATAACTCCTAATATAACATACACCAAAAAGCTTTTAGAGCTCAATAAAAGAGCTCTTAGTATATACACTAGCTTAGTAACTGGGCACTGTCCTAATAGATATAGCATTAAGAACATTGGTCGGGTTCAGAGTAATATCTGTCGTTTCTGTAATTTGGAACATGAAACCTCGGAACATCTGTTCTGCAGTTGTGGTGCTTTACACAAGCGTAAATCCAAATTTCTTGGATGTATTGGCTTACAAACCTAGCGATATTTAGTCTGCAAATCATGGAAATGTAGTTGGTTTTATAAACCATATTATACCGGACTGAGAAAAGATGTGTCCAGGCAATTAGCTGTCTACTCGTTAAATAGTGGTCGATTTGCATGATACAAACAGCAAATACGGGTACCACAAAAGTTCAAATAATGCACGGAGTGGTTTTTACTTCACTCCCCAACAAAAAAATAAATAAATAACTGAACTTAAATATGAATAACTCTTACTCAATTTTGAGTCGTTATCATTGGCCGTACATGCGGAATTTGTTTAGGAAAGTATGTCAAGTGCTGGTTGGTGAAGTCGTATTGCAAAGTGTTACAACCCTTCTATTAAGTATAAGAAAAGTACGTTATGTAGGGGTGGATAGTATTTAAAA